AATGTTATTAAATTTAAATTCCAGGACACCTTCTTTGTTGCTTTTGCTGTTTGACCCGGTCAACCAAAACTTTCTCTTCTTATCTTCCTCCTGCGCAACCTTTTCCGGTCGAGTTCTTCTTTGTGGTGGCCATTTCTGACCACCACTACAACTGCCTTTGGGAAAGGGAGTAATGGCCAGCTGGGGAGGAGAGATGCGGCTCTCCTCAACCCTGAAGGCAGTCTCCCCCTTCTTCACCACCTGTACGGGGTGGCTTAGCCCCCAAACCAGCTGGCTCAGGGCACTCCAGCAGCGGACATGGATCAAAGCCTCGCAGAGATGAGGTTTCAGTCTGTCGCTGAAGCTCAAACCAGAAGCCCCCCAAATTCAGTCTTAAAGATAAAACTCAATCTTGTCTTAAATAGCTCTTTGTGGAAACTATCTGGGGAATAGATTCTTGGAACCTCAACATAAACATGTCCAGAGATCAGATTGACCTTCACCCCTATTGAGTTTTAGTAAAGACACATTTTTTAAAGAAAGAATTCGGTTATGATCTGAAGCCCTCCTCTCGGTGGGGTCTGGATATTTATGACCCTGAGTGGACATAGACTATCTTGCAATTTTACTTGTTATTTTTAACTTTGTCATTGGTTACTTATTGAAATAACATAATGCCAGCTATTTAGTGATGCTCTTGTCTGCAGAGGCACATAAGCTCAGGAAGCAAGAGAAATGATAAAATCTTTATTTGCTTTGGCCCAATTAGCAAAAAACAAAACAACAACAAAAAACCACAAACCACACTTATCCCTCCCACCCAAAAACCCCAAAACAAAAAACAGACCCCAATTTTCTGCTATATCCAATCCTCCCCAAATGTGCAGCTAAATACCAACAATAAAAATGGTGAATCAATAAAATTTACTAAAATGCCTGTTTATTAAAACCAACATTTCCAGGTTTTCTCCCGTGTAAAATTGGAAGTATTTGGGCAACGTTTTGACAAAATATCATTCGTCATCTTCAGGCTTAATTAATATATAATTAATAATTACTAATTAATCAAGCCTGAAGATGACGAATGAGATTTCATCCAAACATCGCCAAAATACTTCCAATTTTACGTGGGAGAAAACCTGAATAACCAAAGATCCACACATATATATGTATGTATGTATGTATGTATGTATGTATGTATGTTTATATATGTATGTGTATGTATATGTATATATATGTATGTATGTATGTGTATATATGTATGTGGGAGAAAACTCGAACAACCAAAGATCCACACACACACACACACACACACACACACACACACACACATATATATATATATATATATATATATATATATATATATTCTCTTAAGTTTTCATGGGTACTTACATGTATGGTATTCAGCTTTGATCGGGTATTTTCCCACGTCATTATAGTTGTGCTTTTAAAGTTGGAGCAACGTTTCGGCAGAATCTCATCTGCCGTTATCAGGCTTCTGTATTATGTTTGTCTGTGAGTCAGACTTTCACAGCCATTTCAGTTTTAAATTTGGGGCTAGCCTATTGCTGTGCCACAACGTTTTTTTCTTCCTCCTGATTGGTTGGGAGTCTTGGTCTGTGTTTATTAGTCTTGGAATTTCCTGTGTTCTGCTTGATTGGTGTTTCTAATATCTTCTGTCTGTTTTGTGGCTTTTTTTTTGTCTTGATTGGCTGGCAACATTGTGTTTCCTGTATTGGAGTCTTTTAGTGCAGCTTGGCTCTGAGTAAATGGACAGCTATCATTAATTAGGAAGCTAGGTTTCATCTGGATGCCTGGTTGGGGTGTGTTTGAGCTGGAGATATCAGGGGGGATCTGTTTGTGCCCAGGTGTTTTCCGGGCTTGTGGTGTGGAGAATTTTTTGTTTGTAAGTGCAGGCTTCCAAATAATTGACAGTCTGGTGGAATCATCTATTCTATTCATGCTTTCAGGTCTTTCTTCAATCTCTATGGCTTCTCTGATAATTCTGTGGCTGGGGTTTTCTATAGTGCCTAGGGTTTTGGTGCCATTGAAGTCGATGCTATGACCTGTGGCTTTCATGTGTTGGATTAGTGAGGAAATGTGTTCCAGCTTTTTTATTGCATTTTTGTGTTCATCCAAGCGGGTACTTATCCTTCTATTAGTCTGTCTGATGTATGTGACAAGGCACCATGCACAGGGGACTTCATATATACCTTGGTTTTCCAGGTCAATTTTATCTCTGGGGTTTCTTAGATGGCTGCTATTTTTCTGTCTGTTTTGAAGTATGGAATTCTACCCAGAATCTATTCCTGGCATCCGTTTTTGCATTTGGGATCGAAAAAATTCTTCCTCCCGAGGCACCCGTTTTTCTGACCCCGGCATCACGCGTTTTCTTCTTCAGGCAC